GTTATTCCTCGGCTACAGATATATACCCTATGTCTTACAAAAAATAGCCATTGTGTTTTCAAAGCAGTGTTAAAATGCATTTTTGTTGTTGTAATATAGTTCCATATTATATTGTGATATTGTATATGGCTCATTTATAAGAAACATCTATGTCATTAAGACAATCAGATGAGGTGGCGAACCTTTGGTCTCTGTTTGGTCTCGATTATATTAACACCGCAGCATTTATCTTGATTTCATCACAACTCGGACGCAACAAACTTGGACTTATTAGTTCCCCTATTGACGAAACAGAGTAGCCTACCAGCTTATCCATCTTTTGTTATTTGTATTTATTTAAAATAATTTGTGTGGCAACCTTTTTATGTCTTGAATCTCTGGCTCCTTGACACCAAAGTATGAACTTGCCATGTTGTCTTGAACCACTGTAGAGCCAGTGGGCGGTGGGGTGGCACGTGCCCCCCCAATGATCCGATCGAAATCTCTAATTTCGATCGGATCATTGGGGTTTATTAGTAATAAATCGGAATTTTGCGACCCCCACTGCCACTGTGTAGCATATTATTATGTGCCAGGGACTCTATGAGATGATAGGACAATAGTCTGAGTCCATAATTGGCAATAAGTAACGGCAAAGCAGTTATAAGTGATTCGCAGAATTGTGCGCAGTTGCGTATACAGTACACGACTTCCCTGAAGGCATTCACCTTCAGCGAGCGCCATGCCGATCACAACGTGGTTCGAATTCGACCCTCGATCGATGGCTGCGCCATCACCGCACACGCGTCAAATAAAAAGCAAGGGACAAGTCCTTACTAACAACTCCTATCATTTTTCATTGCTGGAGGGGTCGCCCCCCCCTACTCGATTGAGATGGCAGTTGCCAAATGCAGTACTGATGAATGTGTTTATCTGTACCCTATTTTTTTCAGGTGATTTGAACAAATCGATAAAAACCAGTAGTGCCACAATGGGGAACAAACTTAATGTGAAATGCGCTATTATTATTTATATCAACTTTTTTATATGTGAAATTGGGTTGAGCATTGTCGCAGCGGTTTGCGCTGTGCTCAGTATCTGGCGAGAGGCATTCGATTTCTGGCCACAGCAGATGTCCGTAGGGAATTACGGTATATCTCACACGGTCCTGGGTGCCCTACCACCAACCTGAACTGACCAGCGTGGTTAAGTGTGGTCACAATTCTCATGACCAACGAGACCTTGGGAGGCATTATTCCAGTAGTGCCTTGACAAAAGGTCTGAATTTATTTTACGGAATTTATACTCGTATGTAAAATACCAAGATTCATGTTTGTTATTGTCCTTGGTAAAGGAATTGTGACATTGTAAGAAAATGTCCACTCGTTCAAGAAGTGTATCATGCCCCTTTTATGTAGAATTTAGAACATAAATGCACGGTAATTGTGTAAATAGAATATAACTTGCAAATACAAAATATTCTTTGGTTTCATCGAATGTTAATAATCTTTTGCAGGTTCATGGTTTAGCGTCACTGCAAATATTTTGTCATATCCTTAGATGTAAGTGTTAACATAACACTAATATCATGTGGACTTGGAATTAAAGCATACTGCATTATTGAAATTAGAACCGCTGACACTGATATAGAAATGTCAGATTACAGCTATTTGTCAACAATTTTGTTAAGTTTGTAATTGGAATTGCCTTACACCCGCACAGCCCATTTGACAAAGCAGTATGCATCACAGGAGGTTAAATAATAATGACTGCCTGATTTTAGATTTTTCTATCAACCTGTGTTTGTGCTTTTTCAATAATTGGTTGTAAAATAGGTTGAAAAAATTACTTTGGAAATTATGAAGAAAAGTATTGTGTTGTAGCCCATTATTTTTTTCATTTGGTAATTATGTAAAACATATAAAAGTTATTGCAACCCAACATGAAACATGTTCAATACTGATGAAATATAATTGTGTGGGTGTATTTCTATTAAGGGATGGTGAGCACACTGGACTTGCAATCCAGAAGTCACCGGTTCGACCTCCTGGCATGGCAGTTTGAAACAATTGGCAAGTTTCTTAAGTCATTCCGCCTATGTCCACCTAGTGGTATAAAATGGGAACGCCATAGCTAATGGATCGGCTTTTCGTTTGTGGTAGGGAAAAGTGCAGGCAAGATATATGGCCAGTGTGGATGAGTAGGCCAAATATCCTCTCGTGGAGGTCCTGCTGCCAATCGTGTCGTGAGCAATCATTTGAAGGGATGATGCACCTTTACCTTGCATTTTATTAGTAAACGTAGCGTAGTTGGGCATTAAAAACTAACTGGTGGGGTCAATGTGTATTTCACATGAACGTTTAATTGCACACTTCAGGGTCTAATGGATATTGTGGAATGTACAAGCCATTGCCTCTACATTATAAAAATAAAATGTTTGTTGCTATTGTAGCTAATCCAAATGAGGCTCGAAATGGAGACTTTGTAGGATTTAGAGCCATGTGGGCCAAGAGCAGTGATAATTTCACTGCATGAGAAGTGCCCTCACTGGCAAGACTGCATGCGGTATTGCAAGGCAGTCATGAGCAAGGCACTGATGGTAACGGTCTTTAGCAATAGGGGCCAGCGCTCCATGCGTTATTGTGAGCTTTATATTTCTCCCGTTGCACACCGATCTCGTACAGTAGCAATTGTCTGCTGTTGATGCACTGGGTGGTGTTTTGCCGTTAACTCTGTTCGTGCACATTTTCAGTTTTCCGCATGCTGTGATCGCAGAAGCTGTTTGGTTGTTTTATGTGTAACCTTGTGGTCTGAGCCAAGTGTACTTTTTTTTCCTTACGAGGCCTAAATGTATATTGTTTAGGTCCTTGCTGGTGTTTCCTGTGAGTTATTATGCCAGCGTTCTCAAGGGATCACATTTAATTTAAGCGCCATATCACTAAAATACTTGGCAGGGTTAGACGGAAATGTTATTTTGAAAGATTTTTCTTAATTCACGGGTTAATGAAAATTGTTTTGATACATTTGTATACTGAGTTTCGAAGTTACATTGTCTCCCTAACTTGAAGGGATATCACAGCCCTTGTGATACCAATAATGGAGTGGTGGTAATTTGATATCACAAGTTGAGGTTGCTCTTTTGAAAATTAGCACTGGGTTGTGATTTAAGCCATACTGCGCATCAAAATGCCTGATAAGTATTCAAAATATTCATTCAATAAACATTTAACCAATTGTAGTTTCCTTATGCTTGATGTTTTAATAAGATGTTACATTTTAAAGCATCTCCATTTGAAGCCACATCTCAATGTGGGGAATAAAAATTATAAATGCGACGTGGGAAATGTGACTTTGAGCAAATTACTCCATGCACTTTCCCTTGACAGTAAATCGGGCAAACCACACTGTTGATGTAATGAGCATCTTGTGGGGTGGCCTGAAGTGGAGGTGCCAGTTGCTGCTACTGCTGGGCTATTACAATACCAAGCTGGGACTTGTGAATCGAGATGAGAAATCAAATACTTATGAATGGGATCGTTGGAACCGTGGGATAGCCACTTTTTTTATGGGGAAATTTAAAAGATGGCCAATTTTTATAAATTTCAATTAGAATCACATTAATTTCAATTGAGCTGCAGACAACCATTAAAATGGTTGATTCTAAGAACAATTCCTCGAATGTGTTAAAATAGCAAGTGGCTTGATGCTTTAATCAGTGCACTTAATAAACTAATTAATAGCAATGTGATGCCATGATACAATAGTTAAAATTAAACGGTCTTCATTTTCAGCCATTATGATTTGTCTGACGATTAACCAGTACCTGCTAAACATAATTATTGACAATATTGGGACAGGTTGTAAAAATGTTTATTGTACAATATACAGTATTCAAAATAAAAATTCAGACCAACAATGCTGCTGAACATCATGTACAATGCAACACCTCTTACCAATGTACACAGACTAAAGCAGATACCAGGTGAACTGGTAAATGATACTGTAGAGAAGTATATAGACATACCTGTACGTGTGTATTATTTTCATTTTTTTAACACTAAATAATAGTCGATTGTCAAGTCACTCCTGGATGAAGTCTCGTGTCAGTCAGGATTCTCAAGATTTGTTGGTGAATGGTTGGGGGGAGGGGGGTCCAGAACTACTGAATCGGTTATCACTTGCCATTGGTGTTAACCATGGCCCGGTATCAAACTCAGGTATCCGAGTTCACAGTGCAGTGCGCTAACCAACTGTTCCACTGCATTAACATTTAACGAACTAAAACTATGTAATCTTATCACACCACCCAAATTAATATCCGAGAGAGTTCTAATATGATAACTAGCAAAAGGTTGAACTGCTTGGAAATATACTCTGGACAAATGTTGCAATTATTTACAAATGCTATATTTAAAATTAGTTTCACCAAAGTGTGAAGTAAGTGGCCCTTTCAAAAAACTTAATGTACCACAATAAGCGAACCTTGTTCAAGGTAACGTTTAAATAGCAACCTTTACCATGCACAGAATTGAGATATAATAAATGGCAAAAAATAAAACTACACAACGGTCTTATTTGGTAATCTTGCATTCTGCTTCGTAAGTTTATGGTTACAATCTATGATAATACAGAATCTGTATTTATTCTGGTGAAATCTGATGAGCATATTTTTCACAGATGTTCAGTAATGCAGTTTCATAAGGCAGAGTACCAAAGTTTGGCGAAGTCAGTAAGCCAACGGTTTGATGAATATCTTCCTTGAACTGTCAACTCCTATCAAGCAAGCACTGCTCCAAGTACAAAATCATACAGAAACCCAGAATAGACTACATTTTGGTTAATCTGTTGATTGTACTTGGGAAAACTTAGCTATGAGATAGCATGTGTTCGTGCTATATCATAGTTAATTTTGCTTTATTTTTCAAATATAGTTTATAAAGCACGTATTTTAAAGGAAATTTCATCTTGATGTGGATTTGGTTTAGCTTGTAATGGTGCTAATCAGCGTGGGCCTCTTGTTTTCATGCCCAGCGCCCACCAGAGACAACTCTAGGGAGGAACGTGGCATGTGTCTGAACCTTGATGAATTTCCTCCATGCGCCCAATGAGATAACCACAGCCGTTGCGTTGTCGTCGGAGCCGTACTGCAGTGCCTGCAAACGGAATGCATCTCTTTAAGAACTGCCAACATCAACAAAGCCATATTCAAAAGGAAGCTGTATTTTACTACTAGATATGTGAAGGACAAGTCCAGTATAACTGTGTGCACAGTCCAAGAGTCTCTACAAGGCATGCCTGGCATTTTTATAAAAGGCTAACAACGTTTATATTTTATTTACATCCAAGGGCATCAAGAAACAATATGCACACCCTGCAAATATTAAATAACTACGTTACATGCACTCCACTATCGACATTGGAGCCACATGTTAATACACTCCCAACCCCAGGCCATCGGAACAACCACAATAACAAGGAATGGGGGAAACCGGGGAAGGAGTTGTAAAAATGGGAGAGAGAAAAAAACGAAAGAGAAAGGGGAGAGAAGATAAGTTTAACGCCACCCCGCAGTCAAGACCAACAGGTTTTCAAGGTTAAAGATATACTGTGCACATTTTTACATGAAATGTGCTATTCGAGATGTTAGCTCTGCATTTGAAAAATGATCAAAGGAAATTATACGAGTAGTACTTTTCATTTTAACAGAGGGGGTGCTTTGAAGTACAAGAGTTAAAAAGGGGAACAATGGGGAAAGTTACTGTCGCACTGCTGTATGTGTGGAAAGAATTGCAGCTGCTTCTTTAAACAATTACTGGATATGTATTTTTGGAATTGCATCACCTCTCCAATGGCAACAGATGGTACTGTTGTAATCTACTGCTTAATTACAAACTCCAGGTGATACTCTACTCAGTTTTTTGCAACAGATACGAGCTTTAACCATTTACATAAATGTAATCCGGGGCATAACATGATATCGCTTATTGGGAAATGCCTCAGCCACGCAAGCACATAAATAAAGCAATGTAATAAAATGGTCAGGGTTAGAATTGCAAAAAAGTGCCCATTTTGACAGTCACAATGAGAGAAAACAGCAGTTCCATCCAATGTTATGCAAAAATAAATTTTTCATAGGTGAGAAACAATCTACTAATATCCACTGTAATTGGTGTCCTGCACATACTGAATCGGTGATGAGGTGGGCAGCCTCCTCGGGAGTGTGCGAACTGCTCACTGCATCGCACACTTCTTGGTTGTTCATGATATAGTTGATGCCGTCAGTGGTGAGCACCAGGAAGCTGTCATCTTCATGGTTCAGCTGCAATGGCAAGTATACTCCATAACCTCCCAATGATAACAGAAACGGACTATTCATTTTATCAACACATGTAACTTTACTGGAAATGAGATACTAAAATTTAAGGTACATAAATGCTTGAACCCAAACAATCCAGTGCTATTCAGTTTGACCACTTTTAAAAGCTTTCCCCCACATCAGGGACACTTAATCTGTACTTCCATGCTCCCTATATGGGTTTCAATATGGATATCCACATTCCAGCCCACCCGCAGGTTATTCAAAGGTGTATTAAGGATCTACTGCAAGGGTTAAAATAATATATAAGAAAATACATTATAAACACATTCCTGCGGAGGGAGCTGGTAGGAACGTTGGGTTGCTCGGTCAATGGCCAGGGTCAACGGCGGCGTGGTGCATTCCGCAAATATGGCCGACTGTGAGGGCGGGCACATGCCGGCGTGAGTAGGTTAAACGTTTAAGGGCACCACGGGGTGACCAGCCCCTCCCCTCCCCACCCAGCCCCACCCCACCCAGCCCCCCTCCCACCCAGCCCTTCCCCACCCTCCCCACCCAGCCCCTCCCCACCGAGCCCCCCCCACCCACCCCCTCTCCACCCAGCCCCACCCCTCCCATTTTTGGATGCACGACGGACGGACAGAATAATCCGCTGTGGGCTAGTGTAACCAGGAGGTTCCTACCAGTATTATATTATGTAAGACACCATCACTTTGGAATTGTATTCATCATATGGGCTTATTTGATGCATATTTTCAATGTACCTGCAGTTGCTGTATCTCAGGGTCGGCAATGACTCCGTAGGGCTTGAGAGCAATGTCTCCGATGCTGCGTGTCATGGCCAGTGTGCCATTGATGCGAGAATGGCCAGTGGTGCTCCAGGTCACGAACCCTCCACACGCCTTAACTCTGCAAACAAAACACGTGTTTGTGATGTACTTCAACAGAGGGCTTTTAAGAAGGAATATAAAAAATTACAAATTGGCCTCATTTAGCTTTCGGTTGCAACACAGCAATGCATATCCAGATTCATTACAGCCCACCACAAGGGGACTGAAAGGTGGATTAAGGAGCTCCTGCAAGGGTTACAAGGATATATAAGAAAATATGTACATTAAATAACAAGGGGAAAAATAGCCAAAGAACTTATGTTTGTGTTTAGTTTGTTGTCTTTCCCCCGCATCTCCGATTAGCATTTTTGGCTGCGTACGGTACGAAAGAAGTTCAACATACATACAAAGACTTAGATCATAAATGATCACTCCACAACACAGTTAAAAGCAAGTGTGCCCCTATATTCAAACAAATAATGTCATTGCTTATGTTTATGAGCAGTCCTGGATCATTGGAGGAAACACGACATTTCTATAGAAGCCAGTCTCTCCATAGGAAACCCACTCTTGGCCGATGACAAAATAGCACTAAATATATCAACCCCCAAAAAGCATGATGACGCCAAAGCTTGACCAGCATTTTAACTGACAACCATCCCAATGCGAATCAGGTTCCCCGGCGTGGCACAATTAAATTAACGGTGGCAGTGACGAGCGTTGGGTGGGCAGCCCTCACCGAGTCCTCTCGTCCTTGCGCTGGGCAGTGTGATCCTCCGTCAGCCCCATGGCTTTGCCGCGACGACACAGTACGGCGCGGCTGTCACCCACGCTGCCCACTGCCAGCTCCTGGCCGTCACGCAGCAATGCCACGGTGGCCGTCGTTCCGCTCCTCAGCAGCTCCGCTAAAGGACATAGAGCAAAGCGAGGTCAACGGTTGCTCATCCGCCAACTGCCATCGCATTACTGTGGGCCCACGTGTGGACTAGGAGGAATAGCAACCACAGGCTTGAAAGTCTCAAGTTTGTCATGACTTCGTGTTTGGACATTCCTATTCATTAAGTCATACAGCATTGCACTTTTAACATTTATAAACGTGGTTGTCATATCAATATGTATACCAAGACAATTTTTTTAAGGGCGCATGTATGCTCTGAGGTGCAGTGTTTGTTTCACGTGATAGAATTGTTGATTACCAAGGATTAGGTGATTAGACATGAAATCTAAATATAATTAAGTACGTTTTACAAACACCGCTGTTATACCCCATATAGAGAAGAAATATTATTGCAGAATGATGGACACAAGAACAAATTGTGTTACGAACTGCAATCATTTGTTTGCACACTACGTTTGTCTTCCAGGTTTGATTCATACTTGGGCAGGGGTTCAGTTAACAGGCCATACTGACTTGTCTGCACTAAGCCACGAATGACTACCATTCAGGACTGCTCCATGGGAATAACTAAAGGGAACCACGAGGTTCTAGATTTGAAGCTTTCGTGACTGCAAGGATTCATATTCTTAGGTTTTTTCGGTAAAGTCACGTAGGTAAAAAATATAATTAAAATTAATAAAAGTAAAAAATAAAATAAAATAAAATTAAAATCACGACGTTTCGGAGGCAAAACAAGCTTCCGTCTTCAGGTGGAACCGTCACAGCACGCTTTCTGTATCTTTTATTAATTTTAATTTTTTACCTACGTGACTTTACCAAAAAAACCTAAGAATAGGAACTACGAGGGTGGAAAAAGAGTGGAAGAACAGCCACAATATTAACAGGGCAGCAGTATGTCCTTTTTAAATGAACCCCTGGTAGCGATGCCTTCCGGCAGTGCTTACTAAGCCCAGCTCAGAGCCCAATGTGAGAGCAAAGATCTTCGAGGGGAGCTTCCAAGCTGTCCCGTGGCACACAGCCCCACAGGGCATCCGACCGCGACAGCACTGCTTGAGCTGGCAGAGACTGCGCAAAGGACAGGGTTGCAAGGACAGGCACACAAGCCACATGCTTCCCAACACACAGTGACATGCGTTATCATTTCACTCAAACAAGCTTAACGTGTTATCATAAATAAATAGAACTGTTTATAGACCAAGTAGTTGCTCACTGGCACACATTTATGGATGCCATTTTTTTATGTTGGAGGAAACTTTAAGTACAGGTTGAAGAAATTAACTGTATTGAGTATAAAGTTCATACATTAGTGAATTCCTTTCAACGTTTGAAAGACAAAAAAAAATCCAGATTCAAATGATATGATACACGATGCAATGTGGGTTCTATCAGACTGCACCAGATTGCACTCCATTGAAGACATTGTCCAAGGTAAAATACTATGCAATACTATGCAATCAAGGGCAAAACTACCTAGCGCTAACTACGAATCTCTGTAAATATAAATAGGTCTATATATTTTTACCATCAAAATTCAAGCATCCCACATCATTATGTATGTGGTTGTGTTCGTCGTAGTTTCAGTAGTATTCATATATTTGTTGCGGTAGTCATATAATTGTGGTAGTCGTAAAGGCGTGAGCTACCCTCTCTGTGGTTGGTTAGTGACTCCTTGTTCACTGTGTCGCTGCCCTGTCTTTCTAGTAAGGCTATCGACGTGGTCATGTGGTTCTAACTTACCGATTAGATAAATGTTATATTGCTATTGAACCAATTTAAAAAAATTATAACTCCCACTCAATTTGGTAAAACATTGAAACATTTTACCTTGATATAATCGATAATCCTTGATAGGATCAGTTCACTATTGCATCGTGTATCTAGGTTTTATACGTTATTAATCACAATATTTAAAAAAGTATAATGTACTGTAGAGATAATTTTAACAAAATTAAGTAAAAAACAAACTGATCAGCATTAGTTCCACCGAGCAAAATATTACAAAGCAAGGATTAATTCATGTACAGACAATCGTACATTAATTATTTTTAAGAAAATGAAAATATGAGGAGACAACCCAAACTGTCTGTTACCAGAGGTCCAGGAAACCTCGAATCAGGACTGTAGCCTGAGGCTGCTTCTCACAGCCATTCTGCAGTGAGCAAATGGGAAGCATGTTGTAGGCACACACACACAGCCATAGCAAATGTTCACAATTACACTATACATTAACACTAAATTGCTATGCTAGGTTCTGCGAGCCATCCACATGAATGAGTCATCTAATTGGAATGATAGGGCACAAGGAACCCATGTATTTGCGTAAATCACAATGTGGAAGACGTACAGATAAATTAACCCCTCATAACGGTTTAACCTTAATTAGTCACATTGCTTCAGGTTAAACACACCTGGGGTCTGGGAAACACAAATGTGTCTCTTTTTATGGCTACCGCTGCTTTGAGAGATTTTATTAAATGCAATGAATATTAATGTATTTGAAACTGGCATTAAATACTGCATCGTATCATTTGCAAGATATTTTTGATGTTGCTTATGAGCAAATCGTTTTGCTCATGATCCCAGTTCAACACCAAGCAAATTTGTAAATAGCTAACGTCAAGTGTCGTGTGAGCAGTTCACACTCCAGGGCTCAAGCAAAATAAATGTGGAACTTGACCACTCTCATGTTCAGACATTCATCTTTCTAGATTTGAAGTTTTCGTGACTGCAAGGATTCATACTCTTTGATTTTTTCGGTAAAGTTACGTAGGTAAAAAATTAAAATACATTAAATCACGAAGTTTCGGAGGCAACACAAGCGTCCGTCTTCAGGTGGAACCATCCACCTGATACAGCAATTTTGCTGTGATGGTTCCACCTGAAGACGGAAGCTTGTGTTGCCTCCGAAACTTCGTGATTTAATTTATTTTAATTTTTATCTACGTGACTTTACCGAAAAAACAAAAGTATACATTCATCTTTGTTAATGTTAGTTTTGTCACACATTGAAGTAGAGTGCAGAACACAAAGCATTGCTTGTATTTTGTAAATTCAAAACATGCTTGAATGCAACGGTTTAGACGTTTTTGTAGCCGAGATTGATTAGAAATAAAATCGTTTTATTCAAAAGGCATTTTTTCCCCTCTTGAAATATATTATTTTGAAAGAATAATTTTTGTGACCTCAAACTCAAGTTATTTTTCTCTCCATATATATGCCTATGCATTAAGCACACAGACAAATGTCATTGCATTTGATGTAAAATTTGTCAATATACTTAAAACTCTTTTCGTAAGATAAATTCAAATACATTAAATGCTTCAATTAATGTATCCCACATACATAGCTAAGGTTTAACTTCGTTAAATATACGAACATTGCAATGGGATTACACCTGGTTTAAATAAAGATAACTTTACGATTTTGCTTGGATTTTATTTCTGTTCAGGTATTTTTGGTATGGCTCAAATCACACACCATCCAGTTATGTCATGCACCAATTGAGCAACGCAACACTACTTTAATATATTTCCTCAGTGTATTTGCATGTGTAATTTCAGTTTACGTCAAGATAAAGGTTTTTAAACATGGCATGTTATTTGTATGTTTACAAAGTGCACAAAACACTTATGAAATCAATGCTTTATACCAGATAGTTTTTTTTTGCTACACACACTACATTCCGAGTTTTTACTTAATTTCAGGTGTGAAATAAACATTGTAAAGGTTTATTACGATCTAATGAAGCACAAGTTAATTAGTTTAACGATGCCACACGTCAACAATAAGTCAGGGTGCTAGATTACCACACCTTCTTGGGAGAGAGTCACACGTCTTGTAAACTCCCGGTCAACCGCCAGAAAGGACTTAGACAAAACCAGCTCCAAGTTGTCCTCCTTCTGAAGGTACTTCCTTGGGATGGGGGGGCGGGGAATGGGGAACAGGATGCCACATTTAATTGAAAACATACATGTTTAAACACACATACATTATATGTGCAGTACAAAGACAAAGATCCTCCGTATTGCCTTAACATACTGTAGGGACAAGTGCTGTTGGGGAGCACCTATGAAGGCCAGCACGGCACAAGGGTGTGGGTAGTCGGCACCATGCTAGGCCGCCTTTGTCTCCCCAGTGGCGATGTTTATACACCGCACCAGGTATTCATTTGAGGCTGAATCAACCTAGAAGCCCAGAACCAGGTCAGATAGTTGTCACTGGTGTTGGCCATGAGCAGGAATCGAACTCGGGTCATAGCGCAGCACGGCATACACTTGTAATTAAACACTCTTCATTAGCTTCATGCTTACTAAGTCAATTACTTGTAATACCAATAGTTACTAAATTCTTGTAGTGCAGTTCATATCTGTAACACCATGCTTTATTTATTTCGTGAATATATAACATGTTAGATAGGTTCTGGTTAATTCCACATGGTGGCACTATTGGCATTTTGATGTACGCCATCATTAAACACCCTCTCACTCACTCCATGTTTAATTGCTTGAGTAATGTCCAGCAGATACACAGATTTAACAAATGTTCAATACAACGTTGTGTATTTGAAAGCCTATCTTCTGTGCCCCTATTAATGGCACAGTGTTTACATTGGTCAGCAGCTTGGGATACCTAGTGCAAAATGACCTTACCATGAATAGCTCTGATGCTGTCAACCAGCGAACTCTATAAATAAGGACGTGGGTTCTGCAAGCCTCATGGTAGGTACAAACACCCCATGTATATATGCCTGTGGAGGAAAGTACTCACCGGAGGTGTCTGGCCATGTATTTGCTGCAGAAATTGGCAGCTGCGGGACCTCCATGCCCATCAAACACAGCCAAGCAGAGCACATTGTTGGAGACCTCTGACAAGGCATAGCGGTCCTCGTTGGTCGATCGTACGCCTGTCTGGCTTGTGCAACCCACGTTTCTCACATGTGGTCGGTACCTTGACTGCAAAAAGCCACAGCCAGCAGACACATGCCCCTGATTGTGCTTCCCCATTTGTTCCACTTGTTTGTAATCGAATTTGCTTCATAAGGTCCAAGATCATCGTTTCGTTTCATAACAAATTGCAATTTACACAGCGTCCATTTTAATACAGCAACCATAATGATTAATAAATAATACATTTTGCATTATATGGCCTAATATGCTTCTTAAAATGCATCAAATAACAGCATTCAAAAGCACTGAACCTTGCAAACAAGCATTATTTTAAAACATTGACAGAGCACTATATATGCATAAATCTCACAATTTAAACCGCTTTACTGCATTTATGTACCTTTCTGGCCATGATTTCAGCAGAAGGAAGAATGACCTCATCCCCAATGTTCCAGGCACCAAAATTGTCCACAAAACCGTCCTCGATGAAGTGAAGTGTAAGCGCAGAGGAAAACTATGTCTTGCTTCCTTGCCCTTTTCCACTTTCAGCAGCAAGTTCTTTGCTGGTGCTCTGCCATACTTGCAGATGTTTAAAACGACGAACTGAACGGACATATCCTTTGGCGTTTCAAGGTGATAGGGCAATCCAAACGCTGCAAAATATTTGTTCTGGTTGTCTTCTAGTTGGAGCCAAGGGCAGTAATGTCTTCCTCCCAGTCCTTGGTCCTGTTGAGATCAACTTGCCTTTAATTAGTAAACAGAGGCTATGCAACACAGCAAATCGTGACAGTGTTCACTCTGGGCTGCCCGCTTGATAGGGAGTGGAGGCAAATGTGGAGGAGGGGGGGGGGGCTCCACCCCCTATCATCTTCTCAACACCACTGAAGTCAATATTAGGTCTTGGCTTCTCTGGCCCATGACTAAAAATACTTTAACTGACATGGTGTAGCGATGACAAACCCCACAATAGACACGCTAACTCTCACCCCCCTCCTCTCCCAGAAATACTGTATATACACAATACACCATTTCAATGCAATATCACGAATTCTCATTAACTCGTACACATCTATTAAACAAAGCATTCACCTCGTTGTATTATAGTAAAAAAGAAACTATAGCAGAAAGTCGCCTTCATATATCTGTCTCTGCAAGAGCAAAAAATAATCCCCAATGTGTACAACGCAAAGGCCTCACGGCCTTGTTGGCGGTGCATAACAACAACAGCGTTGACCCGAGCGGGTTCAACATCCAGTGTCTCATCAGCAGTCAAGCCTTGCTTGAATCAATCCAACAATTTTTGAGTTGTCTCGCTTGAACCAACGCCGTGTAAACACTACTGCACCTTCTACTTGATCGGACATATGATTAGCATGCATCGTTTGCTTCTTTATTTAGCACCACAGTTTCACAGTTCGACCGCAACGCACAAAATCGCAGGCGCTGATAAAACAAAGAAGGGTTATGTTAAATATTTTTTTAAAAAACGTGCCACCTTACCCACCAAGTACGTTCGTCCGTATCGCGCGAGTCTTTGCCAAACCTCCGTTTTCAGGATGATGCAATCCTGAGATGAAGAAGCATCACTCGGCGAGAGGAGGAGGAGGAGGTTCACGTTCCCACGCCCAACCCCAGCCACTCCTCCTCCTCTCAAGGGAATGGAAGAAGAGGAGGAGGGGGTGGTGGTGGTGCATTTTATTCGAAGGCACGGCCGCATGCCCTCGGGGTGGGGGGGGGGGCACGTCCGGCCCGCGGGCCGTATGAGGCCCACGAAATAATGTGGGTCTGGCCCTGCCAAAGCAACCGCAGGCGGGACTCGAAATTCAATAAATTTCAGAGCAAACTTTGAAAAGCAGTTGCGAAGCAACAACAACACATCATCAATAGCCAGCTAACATCACACCACACGCCTCGCCAAAGAGAAGCAGTTCCAGTCATCGCATTAGGGGCGAGTTAATTAAATGTTTTGACCAAATATGACGGGCTAATTTTTAAGTTGATAATTTTGTATGGCCCGCAAAGTGTTATAAATAATATCAAATGGCCCTTGGCAGAAACACAAGGTTCCCCATGCCTGTTTTAAAGGCTGCTTTAAAGGCAGGAAACGTGAACGGGTAACTTCACATACACCACCGCGGCTTGTATAATTGAACAAAACAAATTGCCCCACATTTGAGCTTATATTGACTGTGCGATTAATTGATGTCGTTTAACCAGCTACCCGACTATAGGGAACGAGTCCAAGGGGACCTTCAAGAATATTGCTCAACTCACAAAACGATGCGTTTGACGGTCGGAAGCAAATGTTATTTGTATCTTCTATTTGTGTTTACACAAACGCAGTAACTTGCCACGCTTGTGTCGCATGACGCGTGTGTGCGTGCGTGCCATGCGTGTAGAATGCGGCTTGCGGCAGCGGGCTTGGTAAGTAGTTAGCGTCAAAGTGGACATTTGTCACGGGCAAGAAGAGGAGGAACCTCGGCTGGCTGGGCTGGGCTGGCTTTCCCTCCCCACGGCGATCATGCACAGCTTGCATGCACTGCCGCAAGCCATAGCCCCCCATACCACCACCAATTCACTGGTCTCCAGCCAGAATGCTTCCGAAATAAACGTGGTCTCCAACTTTTTGCTCACTCTTGGGTCACTGAAAATTGGAAATTGATGCTTACAATTCAAGATATGCTACTGGGTCAGTATATACGACCCTTGACTTGGGAATGGCGGAGGATAAGTGAGTTAAAATGGGATGGATCTCAATTGAAACCAGAAATGACTAAATACATATTTGATTGGATCTGTGAATAAATCTATGACTGGGTTTTTACAGTACTCGTTTTTTTGAGCAAAACAATGAATGATTGCAGCGAGGCCCCCCCCTGCTCACGCTAAGACCGCAGTCATTCAGCCCAAGCAACGCAGTATTTCACCAAAGCGTACAACTTATAGGCAACGCTGTACATCGTTTTCAAAATGTTTACGTCGATTCTGTGAAGCGAGTTTGTTAATCATGTGTTTCATGCAATTGAAGACTAATACATACCTGTCAACCCCTTATCAGTGCCCTATTTTATTACAGACCATATTCTTGTGTCTTTCGGTAAAGTCACGTAGATAGGTTCAAAGAAAATAACAAAAATAACAAAAACTACGAAGTCAAGGGTCGTATATGTGACCTATCTACGTGACTTTACCGAAAGACCCAAGAATATGAATTCCTGCAGTCACGAAATCTTTAAGTTACGATTATTACAGACCAATTCAGACCTTTTAGGTCATTCTGTACCCTTATAAATCTCAACGTATGGGTTCACAGGTATGCTAATATGGGAGTAGTAGTAGTGGTAGATGTGACCAATTTTATACGTAGGCTGTCACGACCAACATTACGATTGGCAATCGGTTCGTTTAGGTTCCGTCGTGTCAACCTGCTGTGTCGTAAACCCTCCTCCACCCGGCGCAGCCAATTAATAAAAGTGTCCCGGAATCTAACGTGGAACTTGTATCACTGCTTCAGTGCCGCAGGTGTTTGTTGGAGAGTAAATATCACAGTATTTAAATTAGTTAACATTTCGTTCAGATGCCATCGAGCGGTGTTATGTTGAGGTTGTGAACAGCTCAGATCTGGAGATCGTCGCATCCGATTAACTATGATGAGGCGTGTTTAGTAATCATCGGGTGCGTGCAGCGTGGAACTAAATTCCATGTGCATTTCAACGGTGGGTTGCCAAAGACTGGATGGAGGTGAGCGGTCAGCACAGTGCTATGTAGACCCAGTGATCCGAGTGGTAGCTGAACAGTTGTGGGCCGACTAAGCGTGGATTAAAAACTGGCTGTCAATTATTCCTTTTAATAATGAAATGCAACTTTAAAACAAAATGGTGGGGTTGAAACTCCTTTAAGAATGGGTTGAAAAAAGCATTGGGACAGATAAATGTTGACAGCAGAGTAACTTAAATTCAGGACTCATCGAGACACACGATTGATAGTTTTAAAACGGAGACCTGGAAGAACAAAATAAGTATAACCCGTAAAAACAAAGTTTTTCACTCTAAATCCTTTATATGCGTGGCGGCTAGAGTCCTCTCGTCCTCTGGCTTGAGATGGCTGCCACCTATTGTCTGCAGTATTAAACAATTGGTAATTAAATATTTAATTTGTTTTCCCTAAACTGTAAAATTTTGGAAAAAAATTTTCACGAACATTGTCTCGCACAACGAGTCTGTGTGCAAAATGTCAGCTCGATTGGATCACGGGAAGTGGGTTAAAAAACGACCGAAAGGTTTGCACGGTCGTAAGCAAGCAAGCACGCAAGCACGCAAGCAAGCAAGCAAGCGAACTTAATATAAAGGATTTAAAAAACCCTGCAAACTATACAAATGGGCGCCAAATTGGCCTCAAATTGGGTCAATGCAGCACGATCCGTTGTCACCACTACGCCTATTACAACAGGTGTATCGACTCAGAATGTCACAACATTGTCTCGAGGGCCCTGCCAAGTTGTCCCGGTAGAGGGCGACAATTGCTGCGCCTTGCCCAATAAGTACTGTATTGTACCCGGGACAAGGAATTGGGCAGTAAATGCAGTACAATAGAGCAAAAACAATCGTTTAGACTAGGTCTACAATTCAGGGGGAGATCTGAATTTAAAACGACGAAAACTAAAGAAAATATGAAGCGCAGCAATGCAGTCGTAATGGTCGATTTCCTGACCCGTGTAAGAGACGTGCCATCGATAAACGTCAGATTAAGATAACCAGGTTCAGTCTGACAATAAACGTTGGAAGTTTATTTCGCAACACAGTTAAACACGAAACGGTCTACTGTATACTGCAGTCACAATTAAACCGAAAACACATGGACCCAAATATCAACATGAAACGCAAGGCGATAAAAAATATCTAAACAATAAAATAAACCTCACACATAGATCTCTTAAACAAAAAAAACGCTGTAGATTTAAAACAAATTACATGTTAATGTTTTAATTATAATATAAATTGTCTGATTAATAACGGCCCCAAGATCACGTGCCGTGGATGCCACGAGCTGAAATAAAGTGTAAATACAACGTGAGTGAATACGTCTGTATGTCGGACTTTTAAGGAAGAAGATTATAATTCTACACCAACCACCATAAATTAAGTCAGACCACGTCCTCATTAAGGCTCAAATAACCTATTCTAAAGACATTATCTCTGTCAATATAAACATCAAACGAATTTCAGACCACGTGCTTATTTTAGGATTACATCTGGACAAATTTCTGTAGTTTTATTAGAACAAAGCCTGCATGTCCATGTAATAAACGTTCATGAAATACAATCAGACCACGCGATACATTCTGGCTCACGAGGAATTAGGCGTTGATTGATGTTGAACAAAGCTTTCATGCCTGCGCAAATGAAGACAATGCAGATGAAGTGGCTGCAATCAGACCGCGTGCCTCTTCTCTGCAGGACTAATTGCACGAGTCAATCGCAGGTCACTCGCTTAGAAGCCAATTCCCGTATAACGAGGTCGACACAAACCGCTATAAGAGAACAGGTTCCCTGCTAGCCACTATCGTTGGTGAAAGAAAGGCGGTGGTGTTAGGGTGCTGGTATTGCGGTAGGTAAGATTTTTTAGGGCTTCCTCTTAACAAAAAGAAGCCGATTGCGGTCATTTATGTTGACGTTGAGCGTTGTGGTGGGTGGAATGTGGCACTGTCTATCATTCGACTAGTTTTAGTCTTTACCGTTTAAAATGTGCATCACGAAAAACGTTACGTGTCATGGGTTGCCATGCTGTTTTGTTGGCACCAAACGTGCACCTTATTGGGCTGTATAATCTGCTGCATGTATATCGTACAGTAAACCAGGTGCTAGTTCCTTGACATAATGCAGCACGTAATAAAGTAACTTGCGTACATGGGAGGGAGAAATGGGCTTTTTCACATTTTTGTACCGAGCTATTTATCCCATTGTCCACTTGTTTTTGCGTGAAAAGTGCATCCGAGCTATGATTATAATTATTATACACTCGAAGGGCATTTCCTACATTTTTACTTCAACAAAGCCTTAAAGAATCGCCTCGGCACAAAGTGGCACCTTTTTAAACAAACGTAGTTTTTCAAATGTGTTAAATTTGCAATACCCATGTGTGTCTCATGCTCTTGGTGTGTGTGTCACATATATATATACAAGCAACAAAGGCTGGTGAGAACGTCTTTTGACTGGATGCTGTATTTTGTGTACGAAATGAGTGACCATTTAAAATTTGAAAGGCATTGTTACCTCCTTGTATTTCTATCGCCTTGAGTGATTACTCCTTTTCGCTCATATCAACTTACAATGTCCTTTGTATAGACGTAAAAGGTCTATTTCCTCCTCAGGAAATTCCGTAACTGCTTTGCTAACACATTGTCAACCTGTGCAGTACAAAATACATTATGAAAGTGAATGGTATAGAATTCAATGCAGTCCATAAAGCCCTATTCTAAGTAAAATTTAAGCATTTAATAAATTCAATCGTGTTCATTGTACATAAAATTAAGCGAGGATGGTGAAAAGAATTTTATGCTTTTCAATGCAGTTTAAGGTAATCTACCTGACTTAAAGCTCAAGCCACGAACAAATCATTTGGCATCAATATTAAATCATTCATAGTTTGTTCTGAGATGTCGATATCCAAAAGTGTGCATTTTTTTTCCCACTCCTACCTCTTGCCATTTAAATTAACACTCGATAGCCCAAGTGGTTTCCGATTTCCTGGCTTTATGACAACCAAACCATGGCAGTTTGAATCTCATTTTATCATTGGATCGATTACCTATTTTCCCGCATATAACCCGTGGGTAGACCACTTTTATACAAACAAGACCCTGCGGGGTATATGGAGGTGCAGGGCTATCCAGAAATATTTTGCGTTTTAATTCTTTCATTGTTGGACGATCCACCTATGCAACACTTACATTTGACTAAAGCACTGCTGAATAAACCACTCGCACTAAAATTGCGCATGTTATCGCGTTTTAAATTATTTGAATTGTTTGTACAATGAAACGACAATTGTTTGAAGTGGACGCACTTTGTTTACCGGCGACGGGAGAGGTTGGGGGCGAGGCAATGGCGTTGCCGTAGTGCCGCTATTGTCTGTGCAGTGCGCAATCTACCAGTGCTAAATCTGTACTTGCTTATCTACCAGTTACTTTTTTTTCTTTATTTATTGTATATACAATATTTATTGTATATATTTTTGCTACTTATTAACTGTTTTAAAAATGCTCGTTTCCGGTTTGTTTTCTTTGTGCACTTTATTATTTTAACGTTAACAATTGATAGTGGAATGTATTACACATGTAAACTTCGTATTAATGATGGAATTAAGCTGCGGTAACGACGTTAAATATATGAATGCGTGCGGGCTATCTCGGATTTGTTTTACACAACGCTATTTTTGCAGGTTATATGCGGGGGAAATGGTAAATGCTATTTTGTCGAATGTGATTTTTTTTTACGTACTTCTCTCAATAACTAAAATAATAATTATGAATTTGTTAATCGTGTAGATAAACGCACATCAGTGACTGATATCTGGTTCTGGCTTCCATCGATCGACTCTGTCTCAAATGAGAATCTGGTGGGGTGGCCATCAACCCTCTTGTGCCGTGTCAGACTTTGTAGGTGCTCTGTAACAGTGCTTGCCCAACAGTCTGAAGGCTTTACTTGAGGTCTTTGTCTTTGTTTAAACCAAGGTGCGAGTAAAACCAGGGCATCATGTCTGGTGTCATTTTTCTCCTCGTCCTCGCGATCCAGGCTGTGACGGCTCAGCAAGGTATGATTATACAATCCACCACTCTGAAAGAATGTGCAATTCACGCTCTAAACAGCACTCATAAGGATGTTCGATTTCACGGGATATGAATTCCTGCAGTCATGTAAATATAAATGGTTTTGTTAAACCCACCACCTGGCAACGAATTCGTGAGGTTTGTTACGTAAACAAAACAATGTTACTAGTTCCGCAAACCGGTATTGCAAATAAACCCACATTTACCATTTTGAATACAGTTTCGTTGGTAATTACAACCAGCCTCATCAGGCGACAGCCAGCATTGTGGAGAAATCTTGTTTCGGTCCTAAACGGAAGGATGCATGTAGTGTCACTTGTGAGCCAATTGCGTGTGAAGAGAAGGGCGGGGAGTTAATGTCTTCGTATAACTTACAATTGATCTCTTTTATTGGTTGAACTATCTACAGTTAATCGCCATAACTTGCGTGTGTTGCACATCTGGCCGTTTTTGGTGCAAAAAAATTCGCAATACCTGTTGTATGCTCGCATTTATTCTAGATTTGAAGCTTTCGTGACTGCAAGGATTCATATTCTTATGTTTTTCGGTAAAGTCACGTAGGTAAAACGTCGTGATTTTTTTTTTTTACTTTCATTAATTTTAATGTTTTACCTACGTGACTTTGCCGAAAAACCTAAGAATATGCTCGCATTTAATCACCACCGGCGGTTAAAATATTATTTTTATCATTTCAAAAGATCATCCTAATTAGGTCTACTCCTTTGGTTCTTTCGGTAAACTCGCGTAACCCTCTGATTTTAGAAATGTGGATGACCCATGATGGTCTGGCCACATTAATATTTACGCGATCAAAACGAAAAGTAAAACCAAGACGGTGAAAAGAATAAAGACGGCTTGATGATTAATGACAATGTATTCGAACTCGCTGAGGGTTACATGTCGCTCAAACCGTGTTCGACAAATAATACACCTCATAGCAAAAATAGGTTTGTTACCAAGTTCGAAATGACCACCCCCTCTATCTTTAACTAATGCCTAGATTTCCACCCTTGCTATTATCCTAAAAGATACCGCGTCTCTTGTGGATACTTTATTTTCAATATCGCCTCCAAACAAAACCCGTCTCCATTACTCTTCCCATTGGCGGCCTGAAGATCGTTCCTAACAGTGTCACGTGAACGGTCATGGGTCACCACCTCGCCATCTGAATGACTAACGTCTTCTACGGAAGGGCAGCTAGATGCAATGTGCAATTGTGTGTTACATATTACACGAAAAAAAACACATTCGTGGTATACATTTTGTAAATTAATCGTTATCGATCTCCTTCACACCTTTTTAAACGGATGCAGTACTAGTCGGCACGAAGATGAAAACAGATGGAACACCACCATTGTGGTCCGAAATAGACACCTCATTGGGTAAACTGTATCGCTGAAACGCGTATTTTGACAAAACCGCGATGTCTTCTTCTTGGTTCTTTCGGTAAAGTCACGTAGAAGGGAAGTATAAAATAATAATAAAACATAATAAAATTCTCAGTGAGAATTATTTTATTAATAATTCTCACTGAGATTATTTTATTGTTTTATTTTATTATTTTATTACTTCCCTTCTACGTGACTTTACCGAAAGAACCAAGAAGATGAATCCCTGCAGTCATGAAAGCTTTAAATCGAAATAAAACCGCGATGTGCAAGGATTTCCTGTGTTAAATACGTGTGAGAACCAAATGACAACATTTTTATCACGTATATGAACATTCTTCATGGATGTGAGGTGGCAATTCTAATGCAATTAACACTTTTTTCTTGAATCAGCAATTCGTCTGGTTGGAGGAGGAAGCTCGTGTCAAGGCAGGGTGGAGGTCCTCTATAATGGCTCCTGGGGCACGGTCTGCGATGATTACTGGAGCATCAATGATGCCCAGGTCGTCTGCCGCATGGTCGGCTGTGGAGTTGCTCTTTCTGCCCATCAAATGCCCACTTTGGTCAGGGCAATGGCACCATCTGGCTGGATGATGTGACATGCAATGGATCCGAGTCTCTCTAGGAAATTGTCCTCACCTGCCATGGGGGCAACACAACTGTGTTCATGGTGAAGATGCTGGTGTCATTGCAGTGGTGTGTACATCTCAAATATGTTCATTTAAACTTGACATGCACATGTGTCATAAAGTTTAATTATATATTGCACTGTCGAGACCTCGGATAAAAGTAAACACTAACATTCACTTTATTGGTTACAGCTCAAGCAAGCTCATCACCACTACAAGGCAGCCAACATCTCAACAATTGGTGAGTTTAGAGTTTTCAATTGATACGTCCTGCAATGAAAGTTTGGTACCCAATGGTAGCATGTGTGATTATATCTTGCCTAATAGGCGTCATTTTTTTGTTTATGGACAAAACTTCCAAAAGATTTGGCTCGCGAACCGTGGGATTTACATTTTTTTAAGTGCCAGTTACCATGCACCAAGCCTGTGGTGAGCCGGCGCTATTCGATTTTTTGCATCCGTTAACTTTGAAGTAGTTATTGACACTTTAGTGCTAATTATTATCTTATGCCGCTCAGCGCGTGCCAAACTACACGTGCGCGGCCAAAGCAGAGCTGTGGTTGCCCTAGCAACGCACTCCTTTAGCGAAAAAAAATACACAACGCTGAAGTGAATTCTTCAAAGTGTAATGGCCCACCACCCCAATGTTTGAACTTACTACGGTAGGGTCGAGAGATGCTAATGTTATAGTGCTTGGATACTATTACTGTAGAGTGGGGGGAGGGGGGTAGCCCAACCACAGCCTGTCAAGGTGCCACTTCGGCCGGCTGGGCAATCTAGGCGAGGCCAGGGGGCTCTGCGCACCTTACCACGGCATCTAAAGTACTATTTTTGGTTTCTTTAGGTAAAGTCAGTAGATAGAAAAATTGTAAAAATAATGGAAAGCAACACCTAATGCTGACTGGCCTGGTTCTTAATTGCAGTGAGTGTACTGGCAGTCTATAATGTAGACTGGTAGTAATGGTTATTAAACTGAGTAAGCATTTAATGACCATTATAGACTGCCAATATGCTCACTGAGGTTAAAAACCAGGCTACAGTCTACATTAGTGGTTTTTGTTTCATGATTTATTTTCTCTATCATTTATTATTTCACTATTTTCTACGTTGCCTTTATCAAAAGAACAAAAGATTATGAATTCCTGCAGTCAAGAATTTAGTCCTATTATTGAGTTTGTATACCTGCTACTACAACCATTACACTCCTATCAGTGACAGCTAGTACTCAATACTATGGTTGGCAAATACTACAGTCAGAGATACTCCTGGATAGTTGGTTAATAATACTACTGTCGCGTTAGTAGTTGGTTGATAGTACAGTCGGTAGATACTGCTGTATTGCCAGTAAATAACACTATCGCCACTAAACACTACTCGCTATTGTGTGTGTATATATATTGGGGGGGGGGTTAAAATATTGTGCGAGGTGACCGACAATTTTAAGAATCCTTTTTCAGATCAACTATTTACCTGCAACGCTCTTTTTGATTTTCCAGGACTTCAAACCTTATTTTGATATGGACAATGGAACGCCGGGCTTTCACAATAGCTTGCTACTTGTGGATGTATATTATATTTTAGAAGTTTTGAAATGTATTTTTCCCCTAGATGGTGCCAGATACTTCCTGGTAGTTTATTACTATAATGAGCCAATAATGTCCGTCCCGTGTGTCACTCCACATAGAGCCCCCCCCCCCATAAATAATCATTGAGTGGGTCATTTCAGATTAACTGCAATACACACATCCTTGGCTAGGCTAGTACTATAATAACCTATTAACGTTGTACAATCCCTTTATCTCCAGAATCGGCGATTCGCCTGGTTGGAGGAGTTGGCCCATGTCAAGGCAGAGTGGAGGTCCTCTATTCTGGGTCCTGGGGCACGGTCTGTGATGATGGCTGGAACATCAATGATGCCCAGGTCGTCTGCCGAAAGCTTGGCTGTGGAACTGCTCTTTCTGCCCAATCAAATGCCTACTTTGGTCAGGGCAATGGCACCATCTGGATGGATGATGTGACATGCAATGGGTCGGAGTCCTCTTTAGGAAATTGTCCTCACCTGCCATGGGGGCAACACAACTGTGTTCATGGTGAAGATGCTGGTGTCATTTGCAGTGGTGTGTACTTCTCAAAATATGTTGTTTAACGCTTTAGGTGCTAAAATGCGTCTAATATATAAAGGTAACATTACGATGACAGAGTTTATTAAATATAGTACTGTATATATGAATGCATTACTTTTTGGTTCTTTCGGTAAAGTCAGGTGAAAGAAAATAAATTAAATAATATAATTCGACGTTTAGATTGTAACACAAGCAATCATCATCAGGTACGAATGAATGAGAAAAAACAAACCTAATAAACTTAGAAATATAATGCAATACAACACAGAGAGTCGGCTAACATAACAGTCAACACCCTACCTAGTTGATTACGTTCTTCCAAAGAGTGCTAAATTGGAAGTTAAGTGTGAAATTTGAGAGAGAGACAGACACAACACGGAGACACATAGACAGACACACAAGCGAGAGAGACAACACAGAGACAGAGAGAGAAAACTAACTTAAATTCTCCCCATAAAGGTGGTTTAAATTTGATTTGGATTTTATTAACCTCAGATGAAGGAAACACGTTATAACATTCACTTCATTGGTTACAGCTCAAACAAGCTCATCACCCACTACAAGGCAGCCGACATCTCAACCGATTGGTGAGTTTATACTTTTGAATTTATGTAAAAATGAAACGTCCTGCAATGAAAGTTTTGTTCCAAATGGTAGCATGTGTGGTATATTGACTTTCTACAATCACTTTCTCTCCAGAATCAGCTATTCGCCTGGTTGGAGGAACAGGCCCATGTCAAGGCAGAGTGGAGGTCCTCTATGCTGGTTCCTGGGGCACGGTCTGTGATGATTACTGGGACATCAATGATGCCCAGGTCGTCTGCCGAAAGGTCGGCTGTGGAGCTGCTCTTTCTGCCCCATCAAATGCCTACTTTGGTCAGGGCATTGGCACCATCTTGTTGGATGATGTAACATGCAATGGATCCGAGTCCTCTTTAGGAAATTGTCCTCATCTGCCATGGGGGCAACACAACTGCGTTCATGCTGAAGATGCTGGTGTCATTTGCAGTGGTGGGTACACTATAATACATAATACAACGTCCTAATTTTTGTTTATATTTAATTGTAATGTTTTTCTGTTGCATGAAATACAATGTTTCTACAATAGACTTGGTTAATCCAATACCACTTTCTAAAACGAGCAATCTTAATGGGTTGCAGTTCCAACAAGTACATCAACTACTACAAGCAGGCCAACAACTCAACCCCCTGGTGAGAATTTGTCATTAAATGGCCCACCTCGCTTTGTCCTGTCACGTGCCCTTGCCAGCCAATCTGGCTACTACGTCCTCAAATGCCCCCACTGCCAGCCACCAGAACAATACTCCCCTAGGAACCTTTTCCATAACATCGTGTACCCTGCTGCAGAGAGCTACTAAATTACCAGTTCCCCTGTCAGTAGCTGGCAACTGATGCCGTAGTGACCCATTTGTCACTACGAATGTAAATGTATTTAATCCACAGAGACAGCTATTCGCCTGGTTGGAGGAGGAAGCCCATGTCAAGGCAGGGTGGAGGTCCTCTATGCTGGCTCCTGGGGCACGGTCTGTGATGATTTCTGGAACATCAATGATGCCCAGGTTGTCTGCCGAATGGTCGGCTGTGGAGTTGCTCTTTCTGCCCAATCAAATGCCTACTTTGGTCAGGGCATTGGTGCCATCTTGTTGGATGATGTGACATGCAATGGATCCGAGTCCTCTATAGGAAATTGTCCTCATCTGCCATGGGGGCAACACAACTGCGTTCATGCTGAAGATGCTGGTGTCATTTGTAGTGGTGTGTACATCTCAAGATTTTTATTTAAACATGCCGTGCTCATGCGTCTAATAAATACTGTTTATTACATTAACAGATAATTATATATTGCACTGTCTGGGCCTTGGGTAAAAAAAAACACGTTCTAACCTTCACTTTATTGGTTACAGCGCAAACAAGCTCATCACCCACCACAAGCCAGCCGACCTCTCAACTGATTGGTGAGTTTAGAATTTGTAATTGATGTAAAATTGATACGTCCTGCATTCAAAGTTTGATTCCAAATGGTAGCATGTGATGTACTATAATAAACTATTGGCTTTTTACAATCACCATCTCTCCAGAATCGGCGATTCGCCTGGTTGGAGGAGGAGGCCCATGTCAAGGCAGAGTGGAGGTCCTTTATGCTGGCTCCTGGGGCACGGTCTGCGATGATTACTGGGACATCAATGATGCCCTGGTTGTCTGCCGAAAGGTCGGCTGTGGAGCTCCAATTTCTGCCCAATCAAATGCCTACTTTGGTCAAGGCATTGGCACTATCTGGCTGGATGATGTCAGATGCAATGGTTCTGAATCCTTTCTGGCATCATGTTCTCATCGCCCATGGGGACAGCATGACTGTAGCCACAGTGAAGATGCTAGCGTCATTTGCAGCGGTGTGTACATCTCAATGTTTTAATAGTTACAAATGTTATTTTCTAATTAAATGGTGGTTTGCTGTTTTTATTTACAAAAGTTAATGCAGTATCTTGACTTGTCTCAATTCAATACCATTTTTAAAGTGAAATCTTAATTGGTTACAGCTCAAACAAGTACATCAACCACGACAAGGCAGCCAACAACCCAACCCCTGGTGAGTATCAATTTGTCAAGAAATGGAGATGCAAATTCATACTTTTTTAAAATGGAGGTTTCTCCTAAATACGCATAACAACCACGTTAAAAAAAAATTTTACTTTTCAAATCGTCAACGTTAGGAAAGCATGAACATGATGGCTCATTTACATTAGACCTCCTTTGCCAGTACCAAAATATAATGATAGGGTTTTCCCCCTTTTTTTTTCTTTCAACAAAGCTGAAGTCTTTTTACAAGGATTTGATTTTGTTGCAGGAAAAAGGGGAAAAACCCGATTATGATCTCACATTAGTCTATATTAAAGCTTGCCAATTTATTCAGTGTACATTTCTTTAATTCGCAGAGACGGCCATTCGCCTGCTTGGAGGAGTAGGCCCATGTCAAGGCAGAGTGGAGGTCCTTTATGCTGGCTCCTGGGGAACGGTTTGTGATGATTACTGGAACATCAATGATGCCCAGGTTGTCTGCCGAAAGGTCGGCTGTGGAGCTGCTCTTTCTGCCCAATCAAATGCCTACTTTGGTCAGGGCATTGGAACCATCTTGTTGGATGATGTGACATGCAATGGATCTGAGGCCTCTTTAGGAAATTGTCCTCACCTGCCATGGGGGCAACACAACTGTGTTCATGGTGAAGATGCTGGTGTCATTTGCAGTGGTGTGTACATCTCCAAAATGTTTCATTTAAACTTTAAGTGCTAATGTGTCTAGTATTAAAAGGTCGCATTGCAATGACAGTTTATTGTGTGTATTTCACTGTCCTTGTCTCGGATAAAGGAAAACGCCATTTTAACATTCGCTTTATTGGTTGCAGCTCAAACAAGCTCATCACCCACTAAAAGCCAGCCGACATCTCAACCGATTGGTGAGTTTAGAATTTGTAATTGATGCATCCTTGAATGAAAGTTGGTTCCAAATGGTAGCATGTGATTTTATATCTGAACCTTTTGACTTTCAACAATCGCTCCCAGAATCAGCAATTCGCCTGGTTGGAGGAAGAAACCCATGTCAAGGCAGGGTGGAGGTCCTCTATGCTGGCTCCTGGGGCACGGTCTGTGACGATTACTGGAGCATCAATGATGCCCAGGTTGTCTGCCGAAAGGTCGGCTGTGGAGCTGCTCTTTCTGCTCAATCGAATGCCTACTTTGGTCAGGGCATTGGCACCATCTTGTTGGATGATGTGACATGCAATGGATCCGAGTCCTCTTTAGGAAATTGTCCTCATCTGCCATGGGGGCAACACAACTGCGTTCATGGTGAAGATGCTGGTGTCGTTTGCAGTGGTATGTACATCTCAAATATAATAAGTTCCAAATTGTGTTTTCTGACATTACAATTGTTTATTACAACAATGTTTGCTTTTAACTTTGAGGGCGCTGGTGTGTTTTTTGTACAACACATTAAACTTGACCATGAATAATTTACTTATATTTATGCTGGCAGCATTTTAAAGATGTTGCATTTTAAGCTTGGCAATTTCTTGTATTTCGACGTAAAGCGACCGCTTTGTGGGCTCCATTGTTTATCTCAACCAGTCCATGGGCCTGTTCACCTGAGACTCGACATAGTGAAGTCGGGTCAAGTGACAACCATGGTTAAAATGGAAAGGTTTTCTTCAATGGTAGAGCAAAAAATGTTTGCCATACAGCCAAAGCTAGGGCCCATGCATGGCGTGCAGGATTGGTCAGCTCTGTCGGTAATTATGGGGGCAATTTTTATAGCTAGTATTCTATCACCACGTAAATTATGAAAGGTGGCATTCGAGTCAAGTTGCACATTCCCCAGATGTCCTTTTAATTTGTTCCCTAACCATTCTTCACTTCGCTGTTTTTCAGAATCTACCTCTACTTAACCTGTACACTCGAAGACGACCACTTAAATATGCACCACATGAACGTTTGAATGCCACTTACAGCTTTTCTGCACTTAATTGCACAATTTGAAGGGTCTGAAATTTGCTAACTGGTACTTTGCAATTTTAAGCCATTTGCAACCAATTGGTAGAAACGGCTTTTTGTACATGTAACTTTTACATTAATCCATTGTGTACACAATCCTGTTGTGGCATACGACACATGGTGTCGACTGCCAAAACGCAATGTTGATCGTGAAATAGAAATTCAAGTGTCTAGCTGTAAAATGGCCCAAACACTTTCCATCAATTTTGGGTCCTAAATGCCTCCCCAAGTGTTCCTAAATTTGTTCTACACGTTGACCCCACAGCTGACTTTATGAATGCCTTGTTTGTCTTTTTACACATGAACCTACTTGTTCAGAACTGCTAATGATGTGCAGGGTTGGCTTTAAATGTATTTTTGGAAATGGCTCTTGTCAAATTGCAGCTTCTTCCGTTGCAGGTATCTAAAATAAAAGTACCTTTTCCTATACCCCATCTTGGATTGGATGCCTATTTTTACTGTGCGTATCTACACACCTTTGAACTGCTTTTAGTTAAACCTGTAAAACTTATACTCTCTCTCGGCCTACACGAGCCAGTGGTGGAATTGGCTAGCTGGCACGATGCAGAGCCATTGAGTGCAGCAGGAGCCGGCCCAAACCGGCTCTCGTGCACATCTCAGCTGTCCTAGCTGCTACTCCGGGGAGTGTCACATGGCCCTCTGCTCTGCCGACGAGCCTGGCTGCAGACTGAGGCCACCCCCCCAACATGTCTCTCTCCTTTCTCCCATTGTCCTCGTTATTTGGTATGGGAGGACATTCCGCGTAGCCCTCCTGGGGAGGCACTCCCTTTCCTCCCTGAGTGTACCATTTACCAGATTCATGCTGCAAAGCCTTCAACACGATTGTGGCCTCCTGCACCGAGCGTGGCAAGGGCAGTGTGGTAACGGCAACGTGACTTATTGGTGAATGGTGGTTTTTGGTGTGAAATTATATAATCGTTCAATCTGTGGATATCCATTAGAGCGGTGGGGCCCTTCTGAGTGGCATGAACCTAGCCAAAAGGAGGCCTACACACCCTCCACCCAAGGGGGCCATGTGACCTTGCCATGGCTTTCCCTTTTCAGGGGGAAGACTGCATGGCCCCACTGGTGGCAGTGAGCATTTCAAATTGGGAGGGCCTCATGATTTGAGCCCGCATATAGATGCAACTGCCTGCCTAAAAATACCAGCCCCATCTTGCATACATTACCAACAACAGAAGGATGTACTGTAACCTTTATTCGCTCACCTTGGGTTTTGCGCTGGCTTTGGAGCTTTCTGGGGTGCCTTGACCTGGTGATCCCAGCCTGGTGGCATTAACTCCCAGGGTGTTTTCTAGTGGAATCCAATGCCTTTGGTTCCACAGTCCACATTGCATCCTAAACTCAGACTGCACCATGAAACTTCCATTTACATGGAGGTGATGGGGAAGGGAAGCGTGTGCACTCAAAGCTGCTTTACCTGGCCATGCTGCGGATCCACGAGAGAGGAGATTGGACTTCATCTGACTAATGAAAGGAAGGCTTAAACTTCCATAGACCTGCTCCTAGATGTCCACAAGGCACCATAAAGGCCATCTGGCTGTGCCCAGATATGTCCCTAGTTCTCAGGCTGACTTTCAACTGTGGTACAGAGGTAGGCCTCTCGGGTGCACTGATCTTTTATGGAGTTTAAAACCAAACCCACATGGCAAAATTGTCTGGACAAACTGGAAAGACTATTCCAACCCCATTCCAACTAGAGACTGGCACCAGTCTCTAGTTGGAATGGTTATAGACTCTCTCTCCCTCACCCACCCCTTCTTCCTGTCCTTTGTTAATTCACTGCTGCCAACCAGTCCCTGCTTTTGTAGCGTAATGAACATGTATCTTTTTATCGGCCCCCATTTGGGGGAGAGCCATGCAGAGGATGCAGCCTGTCTTAAACATGTGTAAAGACGGTATGAAATGATAGAGGGACCGTAGTTCCCTGGGACAATGGTTACAAGTGGACATGCTAAAGCTGATGGGACAAGTGCTGACAGGGTAATGTGAGAGGGAGCACGGGGTCCAATGGTGGGAAAGTGTAATAAGGGTGGAGATTGACCAAGCCAGGTGTGGTGAGGAGAATTCAGGAATAAGGGTGTGGCCGGATCGGGCGAGGCATAATAACCGGCGCAAACCAGACCTGGGGACTGTTGGTGTGGGAAATCATTGTCTTGGAACAGGTTGTCTCCATCGTTTTGAGTTGTATTGAGACTAGAGATGTGTTATCCAGAATAGAGTGTAACTTCCCAAGTGTATATAGTCACTCATGGTTACTCGTTGAGTTGTCAGCGGACCTTGGTCATAATAAATATACAAAGACAAGACGGTGTCTCTACGAGATACATTACAGTGGTGTCAGAAGTGGCTATTGTTAAATGCCGAAGAAAGGCATTAGTAAGAATCCACCTGTAGCATCTTCAGAGACGGAGAAAGAAAATGACCAAGTACTTCCCCCAGCAGCCCCGGGAGCCAGGTGACGAAGCCCGAGTGTGCAGAAAAAGCGGCACCTGTGACGGAAGAGTGGCAAGACCTGGTGACGAAGGCAGATCGGCTCCTTTTGACCATCGCTGAGCTGGTGGTGATGAAGAGAGCGGCGACTTCGACAGCCAGCGCAGCCGCGGATAGTGGAGCGGCCACCTGCGGTCGGGGTTTCCTGCACTGGAGAACACACGGTTGGGGCCGCCATTTTGTGGGTGGCGACGCAACCAACGGCCACCATTTTTAACCCTGCGCGGGAGGCAGCAGAGGCGGTGTCATCTCGGGCGGCGAGGCGAGTGGTCACCGAGCAACCACGAAGGTTGCCTTTGATCAGAGAATTACGGTGGCGGGAGGAGATTAGAATGCCTTCACCCACCAGTTTGGAGCAGCATACCGGTCTGTCGGCTGGATGGAGAAGGAGGTGTTGAGAGCTTTGCCTATGGCTGTTGACGATGATGGCCTTGAAGTGTTCTGGGCCATTCCGGAAGAAAAGAGGGCTATGCTTCAGGATGCCTACAAGGAGCTGTCGGCAGTATATGACCCACCGTTGGGCCCGAGTGGTGCCAGCAAGCGTGCAAAACCTTGCGAATACGGACTTGTGTGGCTGCATGGATCGGAAAATCTTGGCTTGGAGACGAATTGGCTGGCCCACCATCCAAGATTGTTGTGGAGCCGTCGCAGGAAGAAATTGAGTCTACGGGGGACGTGACGGCAGTGGATCGCGGAGGGGACCGACGGTGACGGGGGGACGCCAATGTAGCTCTGGGAGTTGCGATCCCGGTCCGATTCGGCACCTTGCCGCAGGCGCCCAGGCTCGCCTGCTCCGCTGCGGCCAGCTTCGTTACTTCGTGCGGGGATGCCAAGCGTCGTGGGGACATCATGGAGGCCATTACGTCCACCGCCTCATCGACAGCTACGGCCCCACCCAGGCAAGTTTGCGATGTACCAGACACCCGACCGCTAAAAACCACCGCGCATCAGGGTCATCGGGGATTCGTCGAGGCCAAACTCAGCCCCTCCCCACCCAGCCCCTCTCTCCCCACCCTCCCCTCTCCACCCAGCCCCACCCACCCCTCCCATATTTGGAATGCACGACGAACAAAATAATCCCCTGTGGGCTGGTGTAACCAGAGGTTCCTATCAGTAAAAAATATTCTAAGGCAGATGTGTGGTGCGTGTTGAATGTGCTTTTGCATAATGTTCACCATGAGAGATCACAGCCATAGTAGAAAGCATGCTAGGCAATCTAGCTCAACATATCTGCCTTTAAATCTCAAGACAAAAGGCCCCTGCTAAAATTAGCAACTTGACCATGATCTTATTATTAAAATATTTTCTTTTATCTCAGGTACGTTAAATTGTGGCCTGTGTGTCTTGTCACGAAGAAGCATTGCCATTGAGAACTCTGCAGCGTATCAAAGTGTCAGGCCCTGGAAAATGATAGCACACTATCTGAAGCTAATATCTATTTCTGAAGTGAGGCCCTTTTTAAGTACATTAAGGGCATACCTTTCATAGCCCAGCAACAGCTGAATGTGTCGCCGCTAGAATAAACCATAATTTGAAAATACAAAGGTAATGACATTTTGTTGTGGTGTAAGTCTGCAGCCATTTGTTTTGCACATCGGACACTGGTTGTGGGCGGTGGCGATGTTGTGCGGATGGTGTGTGACTGGTGCCAATGCTACGTGTCGCGGTGCGGCGCGTGGGCCGGTGTTTGTTTATTTTTTTTTCTAGATTTGAAGCTTTCGTGATTGCAAGGAATCATATTCTTAGGTTTTTTCGGTAAAGTCACGTAGGTAAAACATCAAAATTAATGAAAATAAAATAAAACAAAAAAATCACGACGTTTCGGAGGCAACACAAGTCTCCGTCATCAGGTGGGACCGTCACAGCCGAATTAGCTGCATCAAGTGAGGCAATGATTCAAGATGTAATCCCTTATAAGCGAGTTGAAGGGGGGAGGAGAGGGGGGGGGAGCTCATCAGAATGTTAGTACAACTCATCGGGAGGGGGGGGGGCAAAAAATTGAACGACGGCTTGGACGCGGTTGCTGCTGCACACGCCAACACAATGGACAGAGAGGGGAGGGGAGGTCTGATACACATGATAGACAAAAGAACGAAAATGCCCATGTTTATACCAATGCTGGCTGAACAATGAAGAGGGTACTGTTAAAAAACAACTGGGGATGTTTCCATAAAGGCTCGTATACTGGAAAGACTCCAGCGCAATTGCCGCTGGAGGAATAAAGTTGTTTAAAAGTCAAAGTCTGTTAAAATATAGATTTTTTTGTAATTTACAAATTTGATTAGTCATGAGCAAATAAGCGGAGACAACTCTATAATTGAGAACCCCAGTTGAATTATGGGCGACTAAAAGCTAGCTTCAAGCTAATTGCTTTGAATCCTGAGCCACTCGGCAACCTTTGTTGGTGTTGTATATCTGCATTTTCCAATAATTATTTTTGAATGTGATATCTGAATGCTATGTTTACTTGTATATCTGTGTACATTTGCTGCTATGCCCAGGGTTGAAGCAACAGACTGGACAAAAAAGTTAATTATAACCAGGGTGAGAACTTTGAAAACCACAGGACCAGTCCTTTGATGGCCGGTTGTGATAAGGTTTTTTTTAAGTCGCTCGATGAATTTTTATGAGGTGGAGGCCAGCCATCCCAGCCTGAAAGCTTTTTATTGCCTCCCAGTGGACAGACAATTATTTCCGGAGGCATTAAATAGATGGCACCCTATTGTCTGGGAAGTGTCCCATGACAAGGAGACGATGAGAAAAAAAAACCTGGCTAGACAACCGAGTTGTCTAAATTAATAAGCAAGGTCTTG